CGGGCAGCTCCCAGCCGCTCCTCCCCACGCCTGCAGCGGTGCCTGGGGTTGCTGTGCCCCCAGTGCAGGACCCGGCCCTGAGCCTTGCTGACCCTCACCCAGTGCCTGGGCCCATCGACCCAGCCTGGCCAGGGCCCTCTGCAGAGCCTCCCTGCCCCCCAGCAGATCAACGCTCCCGCCCAGCTTGGTGTCCCCTGCAAACTGACTGAGGGTGCCCTCGGTCCCCTCCTCCGGATCATCAAACAGGACAAGCCTACAAAAACTGGGGGTCCTTCTGCAAGACCCTGCTGAGCAGGCTGCCAGCCCGCTCCTCCCAGCGCCCCCTGCAAACTGGGACCTTCTGGTGTGTCAGAGCCACTTTGCCACACTGAGGACAGTCGTCTGAAAACTACTAAGGAAATCCAGTTATAAGAGGCTTCGGTAGCTCTTGCAAAGGTGCTAGCGCAGGGAGGGAGACTTGAGGATGGAGAGACTTACTTGTAGAAGTTATACAGGCTCATCGGCAGCGTCACAGTGAGCGCACAAGCTGGAAGAGAAAGAGCTGCGTTACTGCCCCGCGAGAGAGGGAGACCATCACATGCACCCCACCAGCGGGCAGGCGGTTGTGCTCTGGTTTAAGCTGCTCGCATCAAAAATAGCTCAGAGGCGCACCAAGAATAGCTCGGCACATTTAACAGTCGGTGCTCGTTATTCTGGTCCAAGAGCTGTAATTACAAGATAAGGTCTGCTATAAATTAAAGATATTTCAATTTTTAAAGGTTGCATTAATGAGCCCAGTATTATGCTTTAAACAGTTACAATGTTTAATTATAATACTCTCCTTAATGAGACATGAGGTGAGTTCAAACTCCACAAGTGACATGGCTGTGCACAAGTTTTCAGCCTTCAAAACAAAGCCAATTTGCTATTTCTCCCAGTGTGAGCAGGCATTTTCAGTTCCCATTTTGCAAAAGAGTTCTCGTCATCTAACTTGACAAATGATACAAAGAGTTCAAATAACTTCGAAATTCTAGACCTCAACAGGGAACACCACCAGCTACGCTCAAACCCACGCGAGTCTATCACAACTCCTTCCATGTTGATCGAGCAGTAGGTATTTTAACAGAGCTGTAAATATTCCTGCTTTTAGTAACCCAGCTCCTATCCAAGCGCACAAATCCGGCCAACGTAGGCATCACGCTCTATTTTTCATATCGGAAAACTGCATTTATTATTCATGTGTTAAGTTATATGACTGCCAAAGGAAAGCTCAGAATATCCACCTGATTAAGCAAAGTGCAAGCATTAGATTTAACACAATTCAAGACATACTGACTTGAAATTAAGTAGCTATGATTAACCCCTAAAGAAAGGGACACAGTCTAAGAAAAATTAAGCTAAGAAAGAACTTGTGAATAAGCCGAATTTCATTAAGCAAAGACAGCAGCTCTCCCTCGCTGCGTTACCCTTCCCTTTGCAGTGGCTTGTTCTGACTGACCACTGGAGAGAAAGGCTGGGCTTTTATTTGATATTTTTCTTCTTATTATTTAATTTTCAGATGGTTGGACGGAGGGCAGGATCCCCAAACAGCAGAGCGCTTTTCCCCACCTCTGTGGCTGTAACCTCCCTCCTGCAGCAGCCCTGGAGTTAACTTCTCCAAAGTAACTACGCAGAAGACAAAAATCCTTCGAAATCCCGGGAAAGGGCAGGCTGCAAGAACACCCTCAATTAATCACTTCAATAACAGCCTACAGGAGCTTTCATTACAGCAAACAGAACAGCGTTATCATGTAATTAAGACATTGGGTTTCGTTAAAAAGGTGGAGTTTAAAAGACAGGCTTCAACATGGAGTTTCTTACCAATAATCATTGTAGTGAATAGGTCTCTATATAAGAAATTAAACAGGAAAGGTGCATACCAGGCCTCAACTCCCACAATGGCTGTCACTATGTAGACAATTGAAATGGTCTGAAAGAAAGCACAGGACAAGCAGGCGTGAGCAACCGGACCGGCAAGTCTGGCAGCAGCCGGCCCGGCAGCGCGACGCGCGTGCCAGGCAGCTTCAGGGAAAGGCAGCTCGAGAAGTACGCTCCACGCTACATCATGTTCACTTCTCCCCACCGGCAGGAAGGAGAAAAATAAAAGAAAACCCACAAACACCCCATGTTATGAGAGCAGGTCTAGTAAGTGCAGTAGCTGAGCTGCTGAGAAGGTACGACCAGGAGCTGCTCCTCGCAGCACGAGCAAAGATGCCCTCGCACAGCCTGAACTCACAAGATGCGTGAAGCACGGAGAGAGGTTTCATAGAATCATGGAATCGCTTAGGTTGGAAAAGACCTTTAAGACCATCGAGTCCAATGACTTTATACTACAAGTTGCAGTGACCCCGGAGGGTTTGTTCAGGGACTCTTTCTGATCCCTCTGCTGAAGCAATTACAGGGTAAAAGCTAATAAGGGATATTGCAGTTTTAACAGTAAGCCTGAAGCTGGGTGAAGCAGGCTGCAGGGCAGCTTAGCCCTCCACCCCCTGCCCTTCTGCAACAGGCAGAGAGAGATCTGAAAGCATTAGGGTTAAGCAATGGTTTTGGAGAAAGGGGTCGGAGTATAGTCAGAGGAGACCAGCTCCGATCTCCTTTTACTAGCAGAGATGATTATTGCAATTAATGCAGCTGCATTAATTGCACTCTCCTTCCAACTCGTTGCTTTTCCACCCAGCATCTGACGAGCCAGAAAATAAAGGAGCACTGTGTGCGGCGCGGTGCCGCAGACGGCACCCGGGCTAGGGAGGACGGCAGTACAGGTGAATCGTGCCATCCAGAGCCTGCTCCCAGTTCTGATGGGCGCTTCAGAAAGAGCTTCCTGCAGAGAAGTCCTTAACGAGAGATGGACATGCCAACATACCAAAGGGCCCACCACCGTCAGCCTCGGCATCGACTGCCCAGTTACCGGGGCACCTCCCCAGGAACCTGTGCTCCAGGCACACCGATTAACATGCCAATTAGTTACTCTGCTACGTTTTGGCACGCATCCTGCTAGCGCCAAAAGGCGCTCCAAACTTCTAGACTTGAACGTACCCACGTTGGGGTAACGCAGGAAACTAATTAGAGCAACGATTTAGGCGGCCGAAACATGCATCTGAGGACAGCAGAAACCAGGCGGAGGAAACAGAAGGCAATATCCATTCTTCAAGCCTGTTTTTGTGGAGAGACCATCTACAAGAGCTACTCGGAACAAAATAAAAACCACACCACACAAACCTCCTTGGATTTAATGGTTTTGAGCAGATGAACGCTAGTGCCACATGACCCCGGCTCATTAAAGCAATTATAGCTCAAAGTCATGCAAGCAGTCTTGGAAAGCTCTCCTCCTCCACGATGCCTGGGGACAGGCTGAAGACACCCACCTCCAGAGCGCGTTGCAGTGATGGATTTAAATCACAGAAGGGTTTGGGATAGAAGGGACCTCCAAAGGCCACCCAGTCCCACCCCTGCCATGGGCAGGGACATCTCCAACCAGATCAGGGTGCTCAGAGCCCCGTCCAACCTGGCCTTGAATGTGTCCAGGGATGGGCCATCTCCCACTGCTCTGGGCAACCTGGGCCAGTGCCTCACCACCCTCAGCGTGAATTTACAGGGCTTTGGACACGTGGCAGAGCTGCACGCAGCCCTTGCACACCTCAGTGTGCACTACTGCACCCCAGGCACGCTAGCGGTTTATTGAGCGCCTGCTGAAGCCGAGCAGCGGCTGCGGCGTGTACTTACCACCTGGCTGATGTCATATCCCCAGGGCAGGAAGAGGATCCCTGTGTTATACTTCTCCCAGTGGGAGAGGATGAATGAAAACAAGACCACCCATAAGAGGAGGTAGAGAACGAAGACGCTGACACCCGTGGAGCCCCGTCCAAAGGTGGAGTAGACCGTCACGACAAAGTACACGCATGCCCAGCTGTCCAGGCCGTGATCAAAGAGTTCTCCCAGGGGCGTGCTGGAGTTGGTCCGGCGAGCCTGTTTCCCATCAACGCCATCTGGGAAGAGAACAAGGAGAAACGGGGAGTTTTGCTGGACGCCCCCACACAAAGCAACGGGCTGGTTTGCAGCTGACAAAGTGCACGCAGGCAGCGAACAGCAGCGTTCGCTACCTCCGTCCTCTAACGGGGAGCGCACTTCCCACTCCCCTGCTCCACTTGAGACTGAAAAATACAATAAAGTCTGACGAGATTACATTTATTTAAAGCAGACTGAAGACAGAATTTCACAGTTCATCTCCGAGTCAGTTCCAGCATCCTCCTTTCACATCAGCTGCTCTGGGACAACTTCCGTCTATCCACTTCGCAAAGCAGCTTGCAGGAGCTGCTCCAGCAGCCCAAGCAGCAATGGATTAGTGCGTGGCAGAAGCCCAGAACCAAAGATTTCTCAACGGTCTCGCAGATAAGGCGACAGACACAAACCCCCACGATTAACTGAAGTCTTACCTAACGTATAGGCAATGAAGTTGAGGAGACCCACAACAACCCACACTCCGTTCGGAACGTGCTGGTGATCGGGAGCTGCAGAGATCAGAAAGACCCAGGTCAGGACAGCTCAGTATGTACTTTCAGTGGGTTTATTTTGGCACAAGAGGCACGGCAACGAGGACCGGCAGCTCACCAAGACAAAGCACCTACACAACTCAAACAGTGAAACCGAGACGTTAGCTTTCCAGGACGTGATGGCAGAGCCGTTCCACAACAGCACGTTGAAACTGGGTCACCGAGGACTTTGCTTTCTAGGACATACTTGCCCTCTTGTCCCCAGCCCCCCAAAGTCCTGGGATCTAAGAACTGGGGAGGGCAGCTAGCAACTGTAGCCCAACTGTAGCCCAAATGCGTGCCACAGAAGTGCATGCAGATCAGATTCTCCTCAATCACTTGCTGGTAGAGCCTCTTTGAGATGTGGTAACACCCTGCCTCTGCAGACACATGTGAGGATTATTCCCCTCCCAGTCTCCAGCCTGCATTCTGCCAATTGAAACCGAGTTCCTCCTTAGTAACACCTCCGCCTCCTCCAGCGTGGTTACGGCAGACAGCCAGCTTCGCTGTCTGCAACTCGGGGAGCCCAAAGGTCCATTTGAAAAAAAGCAGGAAGAGGCACGGCTTCTCGGCAGCAGCCTCGCAGGAGGACACATGGAGGTCTCCTGGGGGAACGACGATTCCATGAAATGCCACCTCCTGTTCCCTTACAGCAGGACGACGGTGCCTTTCGAGCAGCAAACGGAAGGCATCATGTCTACAAAACCATCCAACGAGGAGGGAAGGCACAAGCTTCTGGAGGCCTTGCCAGCAAAATAAAAAGCTCTTTCCAAGCAGGACATGCATAACATATATGTACAAAAGGGTCCCAAAGCATGAGAGCTTCACCATCCCTTTGGCAGAGCCCAAGTTTCTGGACATCTGATGTCCCAGGGATTCTCACACTGAGCCTCCTTCCCTGAGCTACTGCTGCCAGCTTTTCTTCCTGTGGCTCTTGGACCAAAACACAGCCCAAATCTTAGCTAACAGCCACCGATGCCGCCTGAGCTTTTGAAAGCCTGGCATATTGAAAACAGTACTTGTCTACCCACCAATGAAGACAATCCAGTATTTTTCCCACTTAACTGTGTTTTGATGATTGGCCCAGTTTTAGAAGAACTAGATGAACTCTTCTGAGCAACCTAAACCAAACCTGGCAGGGGCAAAGGGAGCGAAAAATACAGAGAGGAAGCTATTGATAAGTGACAGAGTAATCTTTTCCCTGGGACACCCCCGGGAGGAAGGGGGCACAGCTGAAGCTTTGGATTCACAAACAGATGAACATGGGTAGGACCCTGGGAGCTCCCGACCTGCCAGCCTCCCCTCTGTGCCTGGGGAGATCAGGGCACAGATCCTCCTAGCAGCTGCGCTAAGGCGCATGGAGGACAGGGGGGTGATTCGGGACAGCCAGCACGGCTTCACCCAGGGCAAGTCCTGCCTGACCAACCTGGTGGCCTGCTGTGACAGAGTGACTGCATCAGTGGACAAGGGAAGAGCTACGGATGCCATCTATCAGGACTCCCATAAGGCCTTTGACACGGTGCCCCACAACATCCTTCTCTCTAAATTGGAGAGGTATGGATTTGATGGGCGGACGGTTCCGTGGATGACGAATTGGCTGGATGGTGGCATCCAGAGGGTGGTGGTCGATAGCTCGTCCATATGGAGACCAGTGACAAGTGGTGTCCCTCAGGGGTCCGTACTGGGACCAGCGCTGTTCAATACCTTCATCAGTGACACAGACAGCGGGATCGAGTGCACCCTCAGCAGGTTTGCAGGTGACACCAAGCTGAGGGGTGCGGTCGACACGCCTGAGGGACGGGATGGCATCCAGAGGGACCTGGGCAGGCTGGAGAGGTGGGCCCGTGTGAACCTCATGGGCTCAACGAGGCCAAGGGCAAGGTCCTGCACCGGGGTCGGGGCAACCCCTGGTATCAGCACAGGCTGGGGGACGGAGGGATGCAGAGCAGCCCTGCCGAGAAGGACTTGGGGGTGCCGGGGGATGGAAAGCTGGCCACGAGCCGGCAATGTGTGCCGGCGGCCCCGAA